TATATATATATATATATATATATATATATATATATATATATATATATATATATATATAGTGTATTATATTTGGGCTCCAAGTTACTCTCACCTTGGAGGCTATCCTCTGCATTTTTAGCCTCTACTTCCCTCCTCCATTTTGAAAGGCTCACTCCTAAGCAGGCTTCAGATTTCAATTGCTGAGTCACTCACTCTCTAGAAGCCTCTCTTGGGCACGCTCTGGCTGTCCCCACCTCCCCACATGGTCCATAGTGCTTCCCCGACATGAGTTCACGATGCTGCCTTGTTTCTTCTGGCCTTTGTCTCAGTGTCAGTCAACAGATGGGAAACTGAGGGCTGGACCTTGTTTTTGTTTGCTGTGTATTATCAGCACTCAGCCCAGTACCCAGCACAGAGCGGGGTCAAATAAATACCTTTTTCCCCCCCAAATAAACACTTTTAAAATGAGGTTATGACGAAGTAAAGGGAGCAATGGGAATTTACACTCTTGATTGACCAGGTTTAGTTACAACCAACTCCAAGATATTCCCCTGGTGATGGAACTGGTTGTGGCAGAAAGAGATCAACTGCCTTTGGAGACAGTCTACCCCAATGGCTCCCTAAATACCAAGAAGAGTCTCAAGGCCACAGGAAGTGATTCTACTGTGTTGATCCTTATAGGACCAGGGAATTGCCTTTTTAAAACCAGTCTTTTTTTTTTTTTTTTTTTTTTAAAGAAAGAGTGAGAGAGAGGGAGAGAGTGGGAGAGAGAGAGAGAATTCTAATATTTATTTTTTAGTATTTGGTGGACACAACATCTTAGTTTGCATGTGGTGCTGAGGATCGAACCCGGGCCGCACGCATGCTAGGCGAGCGCGCTACCGCTTGAGCCACTTCCCCAGCCCCTAAAACCAGTCTTAAAAGACTGAATGTCCACCACCTCTTCCTACACCTACTCCTTCTCATGTCCTCCCTCTTCCAGGCCAACTTCCCCATAGAGTGCACCGTCTTTGGGCAATTACCCAGAATTCCTCAGCCTATGCCTGTCATGAGCTTTTGAGCTCATGTTGGTACAAATTCTGTTACTGTCCATTTTCTAACACCGAAGTTGGGGCAGTTTCTGCCTAAAGTTTTCTTGTAGAGTTGCCCTGTGTTGACCACATTACTGGAATGTCTGTGTCTACAGGGCCTTGCTCTGAAAGGAAAATACAGGCTCTGTCTTCCTTTCTCACTGTAACTTCCTTTCTCTTAGAAACTAGTTTTAGTTCTTCTGCTATCATAGGCAGGTGGGGACAATGCTATCCGACAGTCCCCCCCCCCCCCCAGGTACTGGTGATTGAATACAGAAGTGTTTTACCACTGAGTCACATCCCCACCTCTTTTGATTTTATTTTTTAAAAATTTGAGACAGGGTCTCGCTAAGTTGCTAAGTTGCTGAGGCTGTCTTCAAACTTGTGATCCTCTTGCCTCAGCCTCCCAAGCTATTGGGATTACAAGTATGTATCACTGTACCTGGCTCTGTCAGTCTTTTGATCAAAGTCAACTTGCATAACCATGTTTGAAGTGTGGCCTTCTACCTGCAAGGTGCTGTCATCTTTATCATCTGCAGAGGCTCAAATAAGGCACCTGGGGGAGGGAGACTATTCAAGACCCCTGACTTTGACTCACACTTCACAGTTCCCCTTTAACTGTAATGTTCCGGGTAGGGACCAAGCCTGAGGAAGGTTTTCTCTGCCAACTTGAAGAGGGTGCAAAGAAGAAGCAGATGAGGCTCAGCAGGGCACCTGCCAAGGCCAGGCTCCCAGTCAGTTTGCTCTTGCTCGAGGGGAACACTGACCTGCTGACTGCAGATGTAGTAGCCTCGCCACAGTGGTGAGAATTGAAATGAGTG